GGGGTAGGCACATTTAAGAAGGGTGCTCAGTGCTGACTTAAAAAGCTGTTGGCTAGCTAACTAAAAACCATTACAAAGTATAAAATTCCAGTTTCTGATGATGTCAAAAATTATTGAATTCAGCTTTGATGACTTTCCAATTATTTGTTCACATGAGAATGAATATATGATAAATTGAGGGGGGGGGGGTTGATGTTACCAAAAAGCGGACTCTTTATGGTTTAAAGGGGAGGGTTTCCTGAAAACTGTAAAGTCATTGAAACATAGTTTAATGTCAATTTGACTTACACCCTCCCCCACCCACTGGACTTGAGGGACTTTTTTGCGGAGCTACGGTATTATTCTGATTCTAATATTCATTAAATAAGATGATTTTATTTCCTTCATCCCCCTCCCCTCCCTCCCTCATCCTATTTTATGAACTCACTTCCCTAGCGTATACGATACCCCGCCAACTGCCTTAAAAATGCGTCACAGCTTAACAACCAATGTATACCCCCTTTCATAAAATTCAAAATATTTTTAAAAGTTGGAACTTTTAGAAATTATGTAATTACCAGCCGTAACAGCGTTAAAAGTTATTTTAATTCTCATAAGAAAATAGATCTTTGAGCAATTTAAGGTTTTTAAAAAATTGACAAGATGTCCGTTTGATTTTTTAATTAACGCTGTAAAAGTAAATTGTTGTTTAACAAAGCTATTTGCGTTATCTTCTATAATCTTTATTAAGAAGCTGAAGGGGCATCTAAAACTTATCTTTTTTGGCCTCTTTTCAAATTTTTAAAGTTACATTTGATAAAAGGACACTCTTAGATAATTTATCTAATTAAAGTTTGTTTAGTTTTTAATTAAAAATGGATGGCCCCTGTTAATGCTTTAAGGAACACTTAAGCATAATGAATTTCTATGCCTGCTTTCAGACTAACCATGTCAAAAACGCCAAAGTTGTTTAGACTCTCAGCAGGAGGGGGGATTAATGAAAGAAGCCCCACCCATGGGGGGGGGGGGAATGGCGGCACGAGCGTTTCAAGTTGTCGGATTTTCGGTGAAACCGCCAAAAATGTTTCGGGGGCTAAAAGTGTCGATTTACAGTATTATGTTTCAGCAAAAAATGCTTTAAACTTGACTTTTAGTCCAGTACGCGTAATCTTACACATGTCTCAGTTTAGTTTTAATTAAGGATTTTCTCACAATTTTCTGCAGAACGGTTTTTTTGATCCCGTCAATCCTGGCATTTTTTCAACATAAAAATATTTATTGATTTTTGTTTTAGAACCAGAACGAGGAGAGTCCGAATTTTGTCAAGGAAAAAGAACATTCTATATTCATAACAATTCAAAATTTCCATTTTCCATTTCCGCGGACACTGTTGATTGATAGAATTATGCAAATCCACAATTCGAACAATTCAACTTTTATAAGAAAATTTTTCTTTTCCAAGTCCTTTCTTCTTTTCAACAAATCAGAAAATTCATAATTTAATAAATGTTCTTTTCCTAAAGGATCCGTCATTGCGCATCGGAACACGCCTTACAAAAAGCGCGTCTTGGTTCAATTCCTTATCCCGGCGGGCGTCGAGAAAAACGCCGATTAAGAAACGATCTTTTGCCGCATTTTCATCTGGCAATGAATCTTTCACTGCTCCGTGTCCTCGTTTAAACAAGTAAGTTTAATCGCCATTTTTATTCTCTTAGAGGCGACAAAATATGTATTTATTGTCGCCTCTAAAACTGGTGTTGGACCTAAACAACCATTTTTATGTGTTTCCATTGTCCAATGTCTCATAAACAAGCATCATTTATGTAATTTGTATGTTCTTTAAATGTTCTAAAAATCTTTATCAAAGTTTGTAGGTCTATTTTTAAAAATGCATATTTTTGTAACATTTTAAAACATACTTTAACTTCTTCTTAGAATACTATCTCTTTGTAGACATGAAGAATAAAATAATGTACTGCATTTAATCGTTCAATTGTCTCGCATTATGTACTGTTCATGTTCAGTGTCACGCCGTGACAGTACAACGAACTAACACTAGTACGTCTGATGATGTCCTGAGAAAAATACATAAAAAAACTCTCATTTAAATTCTTCGACAATTATTCTCAATGCACATGTTAGACAAATTGCAGTCAACAGGGGGTTGGTTTACTGTCCAGGGGGGGGGGGTTCTTTTAATTGTTTCAATTGGTCATTTAAAGCCATTAGTGCAGAGATTGTTTTCAATTTGCCAAGGTTACCTAAAATTGGTGCACTTTTGTTGGAGAGAAACCGCCGCAAATTGACCCAGGGGGAGGGGGTGATAACATTTTATGACCCCTGTTCAAGGGTGCTAAAGTGAACTACCAAATATTTAATTTTAGTGCTAATTAGACATTTTGTGCATGCAGCGATATATCACAACTTTGCGAAAAAATTCGCAAAACTTATCGAGGGTATACCAGGTAGGAACCTTGGAGTGGAAAGTTAAGTAAAAAAAAAACTTCAAGAGAGATAAAAAACATTTAATTTTAGACCACTTTTAGAAAAGAATTAAAAGACTCCAAAATCAATTCTTCTGAATTCTCTTCCTTCCTTTCAATGTATAGTAAAGTAGTATAGTATATAAGTAGAATAGATAAATGTATGCACGTACGTGGAACAATTTAAATTTTTGTTGTAATTTAAATTTTTCTTGTTTAGGTCAGATTGGGATGTTCGAAGGAGCCCGGTTTTGGTCGCCCCTGACTTACTTTTAGGGGCACCTATCCACTCCACATCCCGGTCAACTGATTGTTTAGACTTGGACTCCACGTCAGCAGGTAGTTTTTGCGACGTCGCTACGCCGACTTTAGAGCCGGCGTCGCCGTTGCAAACCTGTCTTTGTCATTCTGAATCCTCCCCGACCCGATACAGGGTTCGGTATAGGGAGAAAATGCGTAAATACCATGCCGTCATTCGACTAAACAATTCTACATCAGATATGTCAACCCTCGACCTGTCGAACCTGGAGGAGGGGGAGGTGCCTGAAAACCCCGCCCTCTACTACACTATAGATTCTAGGAGGCTGGCCAGCAAACATAAGAAGAGCTTAAAAGAAAGGTGAATTATAATTATAATGGTTTTAGATAAATATCTAAAATTCTTAAAACCATGATATTTTGTTTAAATAAATAAGAATACAAATATGGTTTCTAATTATTTAAGCAAACAGATACATTTATGCAAATTACATTTGGTTCCCCAATATAATGTCTAAGCCACTAGAGAACAGTGTGCAGTGTCAAAAGCAAATGAGCGATTGTGTCAATCTTTTTTATCTATGTCTGAAGCCAAACTTTATAAGCCGTTAATTTGTAGATTTTAACTCTTACAAAGCGGTTGCATCGCATTCTTTAGTTTTGCACTTGACACTCATAAAATCAACGGAAGATAAATTCAGTTTATAATTAAAGGGACAGTAAGCGTAAAGTGACCCACCATGCAAAGTTAGCAATACCCGATTCACAATGCTACCCTTGAAGCCTTTATTAAACAAAAAATGTGGAAGATAGTTTTTCTAATAGTGTTTAATTCTGATAATTCCTTCATGGTTTTTTTGTAGTAGAAATTCGTAAGTCATTTCGGAAGAGAAAACACGATAGAAAATGATTAGTGTTCAAAGTTTTAAACATATTTGTATGTGAAAAAGTTTAAAATTACCGTTGTGAACAAGGTATTGCCCTTGATCACTTTAAATTACGTTTACAAATGTTCAATCGACTGGTTTGCCAAGAAACAATTGAAGGTTGAAAAACTGAGTAATATTGTGAATTAAATTAGCAAGGTTATAGAGTAAAAATCTAAAGAAGATATAACATGATGTATAGAGAGGGCCTTGGGGTTAATTTTTAATTAAATATATAAATATTCTTGTAACATTGACCAGTACTGTACTTTCCTGTAAAAAGGAGCCAAACCCAGAAAATGTAAATTGAAAGAATTTAGGAAGAGGGGGGGAGGGGGTTACAAATTCTTACTTGGGTTTACAGGTTTATTTAAGAGCAATTAGTTGTATCTTCTAGTCCTCTTGTTCTAACCACCACTTTGCTAAATTAGGTATGCAGATTTTTTCAAGAAAGGATTCTTGAAAATTACAAGGACAGTGCTTTGAAGATGTCTGACCTATTTGTAGAATAATTAGCTTAAAAGCTAATAAAGTTTACAGCCCTTTTTGTCTTTACTTTGCATCCTTTTTTAGGACCTACGCTTAAGATGTTTTTGATGCAACTATACCGCTAGTTTTTATTATTGAAAATATTTCACTGTTTGACTAAAAAAAAGATATTTCTAGTTTAAGAATATTTCTGAATATTTGCTGACAAATCTGATCTTGTCATGCTCTTGAGAGACATATTCAATTTCCTTGATTTTTCAACTATTTTATAGGGTTTCTTTTTCATTACAATGTATTTTTTTGGCTTCTTTAGTCCTTAGTAAATACTGGATAAAGGGTTTAGAACTTTTCATTTGCAGAATTAAACTTTGCAATTTTCTGAAGCAGTTTCAGCCATAACCTAGTTTTTTTTTCACGATAATTAGAATTTAAGTTTTTTTATTTAATTTTAATCTCCACATTCGCATTCATTAATCAGTATCTTTTCACTTTTAATAATTTAAATAATTTAAAGTAACCATCCATGAAAAGTTGGCCATGCCCGATTTACAACGGTACCCTTGAAACTTTAATCTTATTAAAATTGGGGTAGATACCGTCGTATTTCTGACTCAAAAAGTTTTTTTTCTGTGAATTTTTCCATTGCTTCCAAAAAGCAAGAAATACGCAAGTCTCTTTCGCAGAAAAATCGCAAACAAGCAAAAACATTCATATATAATTCATCCTTGATCAAACAGACAAAACAAATAAATCAAGCATTGCTATCTTTGCATGGAGGGTCAGTTGAAATCAAGCTTATAGTTCCGTTCCTTTAATAGTTTTTGTACAAATTTTTTACATTTTACTTTTTTTGTAGAAAGTTGTTGAACGGCGTGAAGAGGTTTAACTTGGACCCTGAGGAAGGTTTAAAATATCTTCAGGAGTTTAACTTCATCGACAACAAGCCGGAGTCAGTCGCTAAATTTCTTTTTCGACAAGAGAGATTGTCGAAGAAACAAATAGGTAATGATTGTCACTTTATATAAAGGAAAATTAAGTCTTTGTCTGAAACTCTTATTTTCTAGTCTCTGCATCTCTGCAAGCTAATGTCGTAGACCATAGATATCTCAAACTATGAATTCTATTAGATCTAATATCAAAGGTTTACACCATCAGGTTGCAAAGATATAAGGTTCAGAAAATTTAAGTTTATGTCAAAGACTTAATTTTGTTGCGATTTTAAAGCTTTCTTAGATGAATGTATTAACTTTATTTCAAGTAGGGGGCAATCCCCCCCCCCATCCACATCCATCAAAATCTTTTCCTTGTATGCCTATCTTCTGTGTTTATCTGACAGATTATAATGTTAGTTATTCCACGAACCGTGTTAGTCAGGGCGCCCAGGAATTCCCGGACTAATTTTTCCGCTTAGCATGATTTTTATCAGAAACTGGTTTTATCTTTGCATTGCATATCTCTGCAAAATAACGTATAATTTANAGGTGGCCCCCTTCACATCTTCATAACATTCCTTTCTCACTTTCCTTTCCGCATACATTTTTTACTTGATTAAATATATTAGATTTTAATTATGAATACCGTTTAATTTTTTACTAACATTTTAAAATTTTTCATCTTTTTTTGACGAAACCTACTTATCTACCTACCTAACATACTTACCTACAGTCCTACCTACTTAATGACCTACCTTCTTACCTACCTCTCTCACTACCTAATTATTACAGGAAAATATTTGGGAGGCCATCATCAATTTAACAAAGATGTTCTCCGACATTTTGTTGAATGCCATGAGTTTACCCAGTTACTACTAGTCCAAGCCCTCAGGCAGTTTCTCTGGAGTTTTAGGTAAAAAAATAATTTTCCTGCAATTTTGCAATTTTCCCGGATTTTTTTGGCGAGAACACTTAGGTTTTCTACATTCACACAATTCCTAAGTTTGCAGTTTCTTCCGTAGAACTCGCAATATATCGTGAATCATCAAAACTTGCCCAGCTGTATTTTAAGTTGCTTGTTTTCTATATGTATGAATCATAGTGTCACAATTCCTTATATTTGACAATGTTTTCAAAGGATTGAGTCAAATGTTAAGTTTTAACTCCTGGGTTTTATCTACGGAAAAAAACATCTACTTTAACGTTGCCCCTAGGGCTTATGCAAATTGAAAATTTAGCAGTAAAATATATTTTTGCGAATAATTTGCACTGACTAGGGGTCGTTTTAAATCAGTGTTTAGTGGGGGGGGGGGGGGTTTAGAGACTGTTAATATGTAAATTCCGTATTGACAAGATCGTTTAAAATTTTTGCAGTCCTAATTAGCCCGCAAAAATTCAGCTCTTTGCAATTTTAAATCTGTGCTGGACAAAGCGGTATTCTCGGCGCTTTTGCAAAAATTATACTTAACACCTTCGACATTGCTCAGACAGCGGGGCAGCATTTTTACAAGTGTTTTCACTGTGCCAAAAAAGTTGGCGAAATTTTTAAATTGCGAGCAAACTACAATGCTTGCAGCAATATTATTTGTATCTTCAATTACTACAAGCCCAAGGCTATAAAGTAAGAAATGAGGCGGGGGGTTGAGAAAGAGGGACGGGGTTTATGAGTTTATAATATGTGAAGGGACAGGTTTATTTAAGAGGAAGTGTAGCATATCGGTTCAGTTGGGTTTAATGAGCATATAGGTGATAACAGATCAACCAGACAAGAGCCGGGGAGGACATATTTATTTCTTTATTTAAATTATTATTCCCTATATTTCAGACAATTTCCCCGAAGGGGTCATCCATCTTTTGTGAAGCCCATCCCTGTCCCCTTGGGGGTTTTCACCCCCCACCCCTTCCCCCTCCCTATAATCCTTTTACAGTTCTCATGTCTTCGCAGAACTTTGCGAAATTTCTTTTGCACGCATTTTAGGCAGATTTACTGGGAAACGTTTGCGGATTTTCTTAAAACAGAGTTTCTGAAAGATGTTTTGCTAGTTCGTTGTAATTCATTATAATCCTAGGGACAGTTGTAGAGGGAAAAATCGGAATTTCTATCTATAAATGGCGTGAAGCCTGCCAAAGAGGGAAGAGAAGAGGTTTCATGTTGTGTTTAATCTAAAAATAGCATGCACACATTGCACACAGCCATGCAAATCCTTTCTTTCTTTACACAGATTTTAAAGTATTTCTGAAATTCAAAGAATGTTTCTGCCCTCTTAAGAATCTAGTTCAAATCATTCAATAAGAATTTACAAAAATAACGAAATTTTCAACATTTTCAACCATTTTCCTAGATTTCATGATTAGAATATCGAATTTTTAAACTATTTTTCTTCAAACTCAAGATAGAAAACAAATGCCTAAAAAATAATCATGAATGAATTTAACCAACTGTAAACTTGAATTTATTGGCAAGGATGCAGGGATTAATAAATACTTCAATTAAGCCATAGTAGCAAGTGATGCAAGTTTCCTTGCAAAAATTCGCATATTTTCTTCTGCGAAATCTAATCAAATCTCTGTTTGACCGCGCTTGCAAATTAAACAATTCACTCTTAACATTTGGATCCATCTAAAAGGGATGAAAGGATGAATGAATGAATGAATCAATGAATCAATCAATCAATCAATCAATATAAAATAAATAAAATGTTTTTTAGGCTGCCTGGTGAAGCCATGCAGATCGACCGAGTCATGGATGCCTTTGCAGCCCACTACTGTAGACAGAACCCTTATCTTTTTGAGGTATTTCATATTTTTACGATCTCTCATTAGCTGAAAGCAGATTTTGTGGCTTCTGATTGGTCGGAACTTAAATCCATCTGATAACGAAAGATACGAATCAGATTAAGAATTAAAAATTTTAAACTTAAAATACAAACATTCTATATTTATTAATTTATCTATCTGATCTATTATTGATTTATCTTTAAAGTTTAATCAATACTTTTAAAATAGCTTTTCTCCGTTAGTAAACAATTCAACTTCTTTATACTTATGTTTATATTTCTATCAAACTTATTTTACCTTAGCTTAAGTCCGTCATCATTCATCATGCGTCAATTGAACTTTTTCAACTTTTCAACGTTTAACTTTTGACTTTAGTTTATAAGATTTCAAGGCTAATAAAACTATTTCTAGTCTAAACAGAAAACAGGATTAAATTGCATTTGTGCAATCAAATCTACATGTTAAGTAGATTTTCTTTATATATTTATGTAGCATTCGCAAAAAGAATTTTAAGTAGTTATTTCAAATCAGACATTAAGTACAGAGTTAATAAAACGCAAATTTACAGTTCAAACTACAATATAACATTTTACGGTACTGTACTTAGCTGTACTTTATGCAATGTAATGAACAGTACTCAAAAGTGCATGTACAATTTTTTTTAAATTAAATAATTTTTTGTTTGTTAGGAAACAGACACCTGTTTTATCCTGTCCTTCTCTATCATCATGTTGAACACTGCCCTTCACAACCCCAACGCCAAGATGAAGATCACGGCGGAGCAGTTCATCAAACAGAACAAGGGAATTAACTCAGGAAGAGATCTTGCGCCAGATATGCTGGAAGCCATTTTTAGGTAAATAAGTGCATCAATCACTGTACTGTACTGTACTCTACTGTACTGTACTGTTCTGTACTGTACTGTACTGTACTGTACTGTTCTGTACTGTACTGTACTGTACTGTTCTGTACTGTACTGTACTGTGCTCTGCTGTACTGTACTGTACTGTTCTGAAATGTACTGTGCAGTACAGCAGTACAGTGAGACTTCTGAGAAGAGCAGGATTTCTTTGGGTTTAAATAAAGTATATGTTTAAAATGTACAATGTACATTGTTTTTATCCGCAATTCTCATTCGTTTATAGTGGGCCAACCAATTAAAACAACCTACTCTGGTTAGGCGGGTCCAAACTACATAGTAAATTGTGATTTTTTTATTTGTATTATCTTGTGCTTTGTAGTTGAATAAAATATGAAATATGAAAATATGATTAAAACATTTTATTTTTAGAAACATAAAGGAGGAACCGTTTAAAATTCCTGATGAAACCTACGACGACCTTATGTACACATTCTTTTCTCCTGAACGAGAGGGCTGGCTTCTAAAGCAGGTAAAAATTGCGGATTTTCTAACACAAATCTTTTCATTTTGTTCATCACCGTCGTTTTAAAATGAGATTTTTAAATGACATTTTATGTTGGACCCCTTCCCCCCTTGACCCTTTCGAAAGTGATTAATGTCGTTTTTCGCCATCAACTCTTCAGGATTTCTTTCAATTAACTTGCAGACCCCCCAAGTGAACTGAATAGTTTATATTTTGACCCAAGCTCCCCACCCATACATCAGCTGGGAGTGTAAGGTTGCACAACCCTCCCCCCTCCCCACAAAAATGCCCCCCCCTTTTGCTACTTTCATCTTCTATTATGCATGTATTAAATTACACTTTGTCTTCCGGCGCGGTCCGCTCATAACAACAAGAAGTTCAATCAAACCTCCGCCATTTAATAGAAAAATATTTTACTATTTTTTTTTCTTGAAAGATCAATGCTATCAACTTGTTTTGACTCGGACTGTTAATTAGAAGAGGGGGGGTTTATGGGTAACATTAAAGCTTCTTGTTCTACATCTTGGATTTCACTATCTTTCCCCTCTTTTCATAGCTTTCAACATTTTAACTATAAAATGTTCCCCTTGTTGTTTTCTGGTCTCTAACTCTGCAATAACAAAAACTTTGCAAAAATAAGAAATTATTTAATTTGAAAATCGTTTATGTATTTTCAAAACTCTGAAACATTTGGACCCATTTTGAAACTTTGGACGGGTCTAAACAATCAGAGGCTTCATAAACACTTGCATTATTTTGGTTGAATAGGTTCGGAATTTTATCAAGATCTAACCGTTCTTATCAGGCTTTGCGATCTCATATTTCTCGGAGATTTCACATTTTAAAAGAAATTAAACGATAACATTTTTCAAAACTAACAATGGGGTAAAAAAAAATAAAATCAATGAATTGAAAAAATTTGATATTTTTTAGGATTTATTTTTGGATCGAACTTGGATCATTTTACGAGACAGTTCTTAAATGATGCTCAAATCTTTTTGTTCATTATTTCTAAATTTCAAACCGTTTGATCATCCCCCCCCACACACCCCCTTTCTTGGATCATCTCCCCCCTACCCCCTTTCTTGGATCGGAAAAGTACGTTCTCATAAAGATTTAGACAAAAATTGAAGACTTTTTGAAAATGCTGTTAACATCAAATATGAAAATAATAATTCCATATTACTTCCCGTTACAAAATTGGTCTGAATAAGTTCATTGCCCACTTTATTTTAGATCTTCATGAGTCATTGCCCCGGTTTTTTAGGAAATAAAACGAAATAAAAGATCACATTTTACCAGTTAAAAAGTGTGAATTCAACATCTTTTATCATTTAAACAATACCATCAGCTGCTTTTACCAACCAATTTCAAGTTACTTTTCAATATATATTATTCACCATCCTTTAAAATAACCAACCATTCAAACCGACAAATTTGTCCAAAATTAGCATTTTAAACAATACGATGATGGAGTGGGAGGAGGAGGAGGTGGGGGGGGGGCC